GTAGTTGGTTCATAGTGTTGCGACTCTGGTATCATCACCTCGTGTCCGCTATCAACATCCAGTCGAAGTCGCTGATTAACTTGACGCCATAGTTGCGCTGCCAATTCCTGAATCATGGAACGCCTTGCCACGAATATGGCTGCTTGATCTCGATGGTGTTCCGCGTCCTGATAGTGTTGTCCGTGGCAGCAAGTATTCCAGTAGGGCAACTTGATCGTGCTCATGATCTTGGTAACTTGGCCTGCGGGAAGTTGATTCTGGCCGATCTTCAAGCCCACTCTGCACCATCGCATCGACTGCACCTGAATCTCGGCAACACTCTCCAGCCTCAAGAGCCCGCTCGTCTCCCACATAAGATTTCTCGCGCTGCCTCCCAGAACAACGTCACGCGAGATCTTCAGAGCCTCCATCATCAGCTGTGCCAAATTCCAAGCCTTCGTCGTTCTCGGTTGCATATCGCCGTAGTAGGTGCTCCAGATAGAGCAATCCATAGCAAATCAGGCTTGGTCTTGGCCATGTCCGATACTGTACGTTCCAATCTGCCGAGACCCGTCAAGCTTCTCGTGTCGAAGTGCGAAATCTGCACGCGCCGTCGCGAACTTCGGCCACGCTCAAGTAGGGCTCGTTGACGACTAGAATCAATATCGCCCCTAAACCAAACCCTGAAAATTAGACGCCCATGTCCTTGTTCGTTCGTCGCGGTCACTGATTGCTCCAAAAGCACGCCGCGAGGATGCCGAGGATCAGGCTCCGCAGGAGGAGGCCGACGCCCAACGTGCCCGGGGCCGTCAGCCTTGCAATCAGCTTCGAAAATTACAGACGAATTAAGTTCAGCATCTGAATTGACGCGATTCGCGGGCGAAGCTCCCCCCGCGCCCGCATGGCCGAGCACTTCGCCCAGCACAACCTGCTGGTCCAGCGAGGGCACCGACGGAGGTTCCACTTCAGGCTGCTCAGCCTACGCCGTCAACGTCGACGCGATGTCACCAGCATCGGATTGACCGTCAGTGCGCTGTCTGCCGCGATCCTCGATGGACAGGGGAACGACGCCTCCAGGTGGCGGCTTCGCCTGGTCGTTCTCCCCGCCCCCCCATCATTGACTGCAATGGTGGAAGAGGTTGAGCGTCGAAGTCGCCGACGTCGCACCTCCCCCACTGCTGCCAGATAGCTGCTGGAACTCGCTGACCGGCAGCATCGAGCGCCCACTCTCTGACTCCTCCAATTTATACGTCCTCGTGCCTGGTGGTAACTGAATCGTCGCATCGCCCGGCCCCAATAAGTAAATGCGAGCGTCGACGATGCCCACTATCGTGCGTAGCTGCCTTAAGGAGCGCAGGCCCAGAAGAGCAGGTATATCTGAATCTGGCACGATAGGCGCAGTGTACATTGCGGGAGTGCCTGCCGACTCGTGTTCCTGCGCTGGCAGTGCTATCGGAAACCCCCCAAACTGCGCACACTGCTGCCTGCCGTTGCCCACGCCCTCCACGTTCAGCACTTCTCGCACTTCTCGCATAGGACGATACTGCGCGGGAGCGCCCGCCTCGTTAGCGAGCTGCTCCTGTCGCGCTGCCCACTTGGATCCGGCGAGGTTGTCATGTGCTCCAGGAACCACCAGCAGACCTTCCCTCTTTGGCCCAAGCCTCGTCCTGGTATGCCACGCGCCGCGTTTCTCGCGCGCTTCCTTGATGCCGTGCTGCTCGTTGGTCGGGAAGAAGATTTGAGATGCTCGCTGCGCTGCCGTACCGGATCCAGAATTCGCTGATGCTGATGCTGCCGCGCCTGGCACGCCGGCTGCCGAAGACGCCGGTGCCCCAAGAGTTAGGATAGACGTCAGGTCGCGCATAGCCTGGTCACTCATCCGTTTGTTGTCCTGATAGTCACCACCATCACTCTCATCATGTCCTCGGTGCTCATCTTGATCCCAATGTTTGCCCTTTCCTTTCTTGCCTTTTCCTCGTCCACGTCGGCAACTGTCATGCTCCTGATCATCTTCGTGTCCGTGACGAGTTGAATAGCTTCCTGTTGCTGTCGTTGCCGGTCTGCTGATACCACTGAACTGACTTATTGGTGACGAGCGTGGAACAGATCCTGCTGAACTCGCGTCGTCACCTTGCGCCCAGCCCATGGGACTTGATCTCGTCGGAGTCCGATTCGCATTCGATGTACCAGTGTCAGAACTCAAAGGATTGTCTTCTTCATAAACCGATACTGCTGACCAATGATGATGATCTCTCTGCTCTCGGTCGCCATGTGCACGGCTGGTCATGAACATGTTCGCAGGCCTCGCCACTGCCGGCAACTGCACCCCAGCCAGCAAGCCAGACTGTGGAGTATACATATTTCCCACGAAAAGACTGCTGGGATGCTGGAACTCCTGACGCCGGTGCCTGCGCGTGGTGATGTCCTGCAGCCTGAGGACAGTCCTTGATAAGATGTTGATCCGATTCACATCTGTGGCAACGCATCGTCTGTCCGTCAGGGCCTCGAGGGTTCGTACGTCTTTTACCGCCTTTTTTGCCTTGATACCAACATAGTGCGGGACAGGATGCGCATGCTGTTCTTCATAGAAGTCACGATCCCAAGCACTCGCCTGACTCGCACCCGAGAACCCCTTACCAGTGCCTGGATAACCTTTTCCCGAGTGATGAGCGCCACGTCCTTTTCCTTTTCTGCGTTGATATCGTCGATCATGTCTCGTATATTTCTTGGTGAATGTCCTCCAGCGCCTTCGTGTAACCAGAAAGTCCTGCCATAGCGTCTCGGCGCGCATTGAAGGATCCACGTTGCTGAGATAAGCGTCGAGCTCTGCCTGGGGAATCTCATCCCCGCTAGTACCACTGCTGCTCCAATCATCGTAATCGGCCAGGAACGTGTCTCCGGTCATGCTCTGCTGCATCTGGTACTGTGCGGGAAGATAGGGCTGCTGCTGCTGCGTGGAAGGGTATGCCATGGCCGGTGCGCCTCCGAGTGTCAGCGCACCCGTCTGCGACGGGTCTGTGTTCTCCCAGGGGTCGTGATGTGAGCTCGCGCCTGTCGTCGTCGGGAAATAGAAATTGCCCTGTCCGCGTGCCATCTGTGGTTGAACGCCCATCATGCCAACACCTTGTCCGCCCATCGACGCCGCGGTGGCTATGCCGCCGTGCTGGTGAGCGTGTCCAACTCTCCTGACCAAGGCAACCCCCTCATTAAACTGCTGCTCCGTGTCTGGAAGGTTGCCGCGGAAGCCCATCAATAGATTCACCCATTCGGCCGGCGGAATACGTAGGCCTGATAAAAATATCCATGCGAAACCACCTGGTCCAAGATCCAGGTTGCCGTCTGCTCCTGCACGAAGTCTCAAATTTGTAAACCTGCCGAGCGTGGTATCAATATTTTCGCCCGGCATCGTCCTGAAACTCATGAGCTCGGCGATCGATGATGTGGACGTTTCCACGTCCAGCGGTGCGAACAACCGATGCAGTCCTCGTAATATGATAGCCAACCCTGTGACCTGTCGTAACCGAGCCCATCTCCAAGATCTCTCATACCACCGTTGCGCACTGTGTTTGGATCTAGGGTACCAGCCAGCTCACGCGCAACTCCTCCAAACCTTAGTATCACTGCCGCACCTTGAGCCTGGTCCGGCAGCTCACATGCCAGGACCCACCACACCACGTTCGACGACCATTGTTTGAAGGGATAGAACCTTTTGCCATATTGAGTCCCAGGCTGGCGGTACTTTCATCGTGCCCATGATGCTCACCTGATCTGCTGCGCTGCCGGGTCCCGCCGCCTGGGCTCCATTCGTATTCATCTGAGGCATCATTGTAGTGTCCGTGTCTTAGACGTGGTCGTGGTGTATGTCGTCGTCGCTGAAGTCGTAACTGGAGTTGACGCAGTCGTGAATGTCCGTGGAATACCGCCTGCGGGAGGCGGGAGGGAGCCGAAGCTCCGCTACCAAGGTCGATTGACCCTGGTAGGCTCGGAGATAGGATGTAGACAGAGAGGGATGTTTATCAGAACATGCAAAGAACGAAACGTCTAGACGCGTCCTTGAGTGAAACGGCTGCGGCGGGCAGGCGGGCTATACACACGCGTGCACGCACATATACATACACATGACATACCTTCGTACGTGTGCTATCTACTGCATTGCGACTGGCATAACGTAGCGCCCCTGGCCCGCCCCAGACTGTGGCGCCGGACGCACTGCGGCAGTGCCGGGGACGCACTGAGGGGGGGGAGCGTGACGTTATGGGGGGGGCGGGGGGGGAGGGCAGGGGGCATACCGCGCGTTATGGCCCCGATTGCTTTGTATACACATATTTTCACATAAGAAATCCTAAGAGGCCTGGAACTCTCCTGCCCAAGCCCCGGCCCGTCCGTCAGAGTCAGGATGGCCACAACAGTCAGAAAATAATTCTAAACAAAAAACGTTAGAAGAGCACAAAAACCGTCACATGACTATTCTCAACTATTCTTGGATATTCTTCCTGCTGAAAGACAAGACCCCGACTTGAGCCTGAACTCGGTGATCTTCTGACCCCGGTCAATCCAGACCCGGGTCAGTCAGGCCTTGCCGCCTCCTGAGTCTTGAGCAGGGACCGACCGTCCCGGCATTCCGCATTCCTAGTCCTACCACGAAATGTTCGTAGAACCCACAAATGTTCTGAGAACAAAAACCATGTTCTTAGAACATGAGCCCGCTGTGTTAAACCAAGACAGCCCCAACCAGAAATGTTATGAGAACATTCGGGGAAACCACAAAAGGTTCTTAGAACATGGTTTGGTAGGGCTGTAGGCGAGCCAGGACGCTTCGCAACTGCTTGAGAGTCCCGACTGGACCTCCTCCTCCTCCGCCTCCTCCTCCTCCCTCCTCCTCCTCCTCCTCCTCCTCCTCCTCCCCATCCCCCCCTCCTCCTCCTCCTCCTCCTCCTCCTCCTCCCCCTCCTCCTCCTCCTCCTCCTCCTCCTCCTCCCCCTCCTCCTCCTCCTCTCCCGCCCACGCCCCGGCCCGTCCGCCAGAGTCGGGATGGCCAAAATAACCGAGGACGCGGAAGCGCGTCACGGCCTCTGCGCGCGGCCCGCGCGCGGGAAGACGACGGCGACGAGGGCGACGACGACGAGGACGACGACGACGACGACGACGAGGACGACGACGACGACGACGACGACGAGGACGACGACGACGACGACGACGACGACGAGGACGACGACGACGACGAGGAGGACGACGACGACGACCGCGGCGACGACGACGGGAGAGAGCGGAGTCGGAGAGCGCAGCCGGACGTCCACTCCCCGTGCACTCGCCGGCGTTGTGCGTGCACTTTCAGGGTGCCACATGCGAACCCTACCCCTACCCTCCACGATATTTCTGAGGGGGAGGGTGGGGTTCACTTCGCGGGGGGAGGGGGGGAGGGGCAGGGCTCGCATGTGGCCCCCTAACTTTTCTCGCCAGATGCGCAAGAAAGGCTCCTCGTGTGGACCTCGCCGAGGAAGAGGGCGCTCGCGTCCGAGCGATGCCGGGAGGACCAGGCCCCGGACGAGGTCGGCGGGCGTGGGCGCAGAGCTGCCGCCCTCCGGCGGAGCGAGCGCGGCGAGCGAGGGGGGGGAAGAGGAGCCCCCGCCACCCAAACGCGACCGCGTCACGAAAACGCGGGGCCCCTCGCCGCGAGGAGGAGGAGGAGGAGGAGGAGGAGGAGGAGGAGGAGCCTCCGCCCGCTGACCTCTCAAGCTCGGCCGCGTCATGAAAAAACTACAGCGGGAAGCTTGTGGCCACCCATCGGCGTCCGGGGGCGCGCGCCCGGCCTCCCAGGTCCCGCGGAACGGGTCGGGGCGTCAGGGGGCCGCGTGTTGAAAACATCGTGGCGTCGCATGTTCGGGTTCCTCGGCCGCCCACAGCTGCTCGTCTCGAGCCCTTCCTTCCGCCCGTCGGCGCCCCGCCGCACCACTCTGCGCCCGCACTGCTCTGCACTTGAGAGTTGATGACCAGCTCTCAGAGTGGGGATCTGCCTGCCCGCGGGCCCTCAGTGTAGGTTGGCGGCGCGCACAAGGGGGTGGAGTGCTGCTTCTTAGAAGGCGGCTGCGTTGGAGGCTGCTTCTTAGAAGACGGCGGCCTTACATCTATAGATAAGGCCCGCGGCTTCTAAGAAGCAGGGGTGCTTCTAAGAAGCCCTCCCCCCTCCCCCCACCCCCCTCTGCGCGTGGCGGAGTAGGACGACGAGATCTTCACGCAACCACCGCCCCTGGCCATGCCCATCCTGGGCCAGGATGATGCGCCCGGCCAGGCGGACGTCCACGGATCTCGCCGCCCGGCAGCAGCAGTGCCTCTGGACTCCCCCTCCTCCTC